TCTGAATGTACGACCTCTAAAGGTCACAAACTAGCTTTTATAAATAATCATTCTCATTCTACTATGCCTCTTGAAATTATTCATACGGATGTGTGGGGACCTGCTCCGGTTCCCTCGCATCAAGGTTTTCTTTACTATGTCGTTTTTATTGACGATTTCTCTCGGTTTTCATGGGTATTTCTTATGAAGCATAAAAATGAAGTCTTTGAAATCTTTTGTAATTTCAAACGCTTCATTGAAAAACAAACTCAATTTCAGATTAAGTGTATTCGTTCAGATGGCGGCACGGAGTACTTGAATCATAACTTCAAAAAGTTTTTAACTCAACATGGCATTGCTCAACAGACCTCCTGCCCTTACACACCGGAACAGAATGGTTTAGCTGAGCGAAAGCACCGACATTTGATTGAAACAACTCGTACTTTACTTAACAGTGCTTCTATTCCCCATGATTTTTGGCCTGATGTTGTTCTCACTGCCTCTTACATTATCAACCGTCTACCCACTCCTACGTTAAATCTTAGTTCTCCTTTATTCAGGCTTTTCAACAAAACACATGAATACAATCTCTTTAGAGTTTTTGGGTGCGCCTGCTATCCCTGGATTCCTACAAACCAACGCCACAAACTTCAACCACGGGCTCGCACATGTGTTTTTCTCGGATACTCACACATTTCAAAAGGATACAAATGCCTTGATATGACAACAAACAAGATATACATATCTCGGCATGTTGTGTTCAATGAATGTCATTTTCCGTTTAAACATGTGACCAACCAGCCAACTCAGCCCATGACGCCTTTGCAACCTTCTCTTCTTGTCCCGGCTTCTTGCACTATTAATTAAACCAGCAAGCCACCATCTCAGACATCCCTGACTCAGCCTCCTGCACCCAATAACTATACCGATAATTGCACTCCTCAATGTGATTCTTCCCTGCCTCATGATTTCTCACACACACTACCTGCGAACAATTCTAATGCTCCTGTTCAATCTACTCACCCTATGACCACCCGTATGAAAACAGGTTCTTTAAAACCCACTCAACGCCTTAATCTGCTTCATTGTCTCAATCTGTCTAAGTCTAGCCACCAGCAAGAACCAACTTCCTACACTGCAGCTTCCCAATAACCGGAGTGGAGACGTGCCATGGCAGAGGAATTCCTTGCGTTACAAAAGCAAGGCACCTGGGAGCTCGTTCTTCCTCTGCAAAATGCTGCGGTTCTTGGCAGTCGGTGGACATACAGAATTAAACACAAATCAGACGGGTCTATTGCTCGATTCAAAGCTCGTCTCGTTGCTCAAGGAAATCATCAACAATACGGGTTAAATTATCTCAAAACCTTTAGTCCTGTAGCTAAGTTTCAGACCATTCGCATTTTATTAACAGTTGCTTTATCTAATAACTGGCCGGTACATCAACTTGATGTAATCAATGCTTTTCTTCATGGTGCTATTAACGAAACTATCTACATGAAGCAGCCTACAGGTTTTGAAGATGATCATCATCCCAACTATGTGTGCAGACTCAAGAAAGCTATTTATGGGCTAAAACAAGCCCCTCGCCAGTTGTTCCAAACATTTTCTAGTTTTCTTATCACTCTTGGTTTTGCTCCAGGGTCCGCTGACTCCTCCCTATTTAAACTTCACAAAGAAGACATTCAAGTTTACCTTGTCATCTATGTAGATGATATATTGATTACGGGTAGTCATGCTCCAACTGTCACCAATGTGATCAATCAGTTACATAAACAATTTGAAATGAAGGACTTGGGACTGGCAAACAGTTTTTTGGGTATTGACATAAAGAAAGAAACCGAGTCTTACATGCTTTCTCAGACAGCCTATGCTACGTCGCTCCTCGAATTAGCTGGTGCTTCAAACTGTAAAACTCTTGCAAATCCAGCCAGTACTAAAACTACGGATATCAATCAGTCAACTCCCTTATCTACTGATCCTACCTTCTACAGACAAATTACCGGTTCTCTACAATATTTAACTATCACGCGACCGGATATATCGTTTACTGTCAATCTCCTCTGCCAACATATGCATAATCCGGAGCCACAACACTTTCAACTACTCTGTCGTTTACTAAGATACATTAAAGGCACACTCTCACTTGGTTTACCTATCTTGCAGGGATCCTTGGAACTCCACTCCTATTCGGATGCAGATTGGGCGGGTGACAAAGATACACGACGCTCTACATCAGGATATTGCTAGTTCTTGGGCAAAACACTCATTTCATGGAGTGTCAAGAAACAACACACCGTCGCAAGATCGTCCACCGAAGCAGAATACCGTTCGATCGCTGCAGCTCTCGTCGACATTCTTTGGCTCAGACGACTTCTACTCGACTTCAACATTCCTTCCACCTCTCCGACTAGCCTACACTGTGATAGTACCTCGGCTATTGCACTTGCTAATAATCCAGTATTTCACGCTCGCACAAAGCATATCGAAATCGATCACCATTTCATTCGGGATCATATCAACACCAGAGCTATTCAGATTTTTCCAATCTCTACAAAAGATCAGATTGCGGACATCTCCACCAAGCATCTCTCGACTAACAGATTTCATCATCTTCGCAACAAGCTAACTGTCCGGCTCCGTTCATTAGCTTGAGGGGGTGTAATAAAGCTATAACAGGCTATATCTTATATCTATCTATTTATAATTTCGGTCTGTACCTATATCCGTTTTTGTATCCGTTCCTGTAGCTCATAATAACTCTATATATACATTGTCCTGGCTGTAATCAAAAGGTGAATAAAAGATTTACTTTTCCCTTAGTCTTTCTGTCAACATATATGCCTTGTATTAGCTTATAATTATGTGCATTATAATAGAAATATAGTAAATTCTTCCACATATACTATGATATACAATGCATTTGAATGCAATGTAAGCCACTTAGCATAGAGATTGTGTTATATATATATATATATATATATAAGAGATAATCTATTTGTTTTTTTACTACTCACTCTATACTTTTGTTTATATTTATGTACTTTCTACTAGACTACAAAAGTTATATAAATGACTAAATGAGTATATTTTAGTTGTATGAACTTTGTCAATACACTCTCAAATGAAAGAATCAAGACGACAATGATTAAAAACATAAAGTTCATGGCTTGTACTTTAAACTCAAGTACATTTTTATACAATAATGTCTCTCACATATTATTAGGTCGTACTTATATAGAGCTCATCTATTTACATGATCTATTTTATTTGAAATGATCATATTATCAAACTCTCAAGCAAATAAGATAAAGTCATTATAAGGATATTGAATAGTCTAATAGACTTCCTTAGAAGATGCATTTTTGGGGTTGCAAATGAAAAGCTTTTATATTAGGTTGGGCTGAATGTTTTACTAACTAAATAAATTTAGAGTCTCATAATTTATGATGACAAAATCATGAAATTCTAATGAGTTTTACCTTTCTTCTTTTGAGTCCCTAACCTACACCTTGATTATCTAGCATAAAGTGGTTTGCATAAATGCTTGGTCAACTCAGGACCCCATTTAGCTGAAGATCAAGCATCCCAAACATCATTTGCTACTAATTTATTTCATAATTCAACACAAAAGTCAATTATAAAAGCTAAGAAATATGATTGAAAAGCTTTTGAAAAATACACTTGATCAGTAAGAACCTTAACATTATTTTTATATTGGAAACTTTTGAAATTAACAGTTAAATCATATGAAATTATGAATTATGATTTTGACAAGCTTGTAGTCAAATTGAATGTCTCGACAAGAAGAACCTAATGACTCTAAAGGTGGTTCAATAAGAGTTGAAATGAGCCCAAATCAGGCGCACGAAGTATGTTGAAAACTATAAGATATTAATTAAAAGTTTAAGTAGTCTTTAAATCTTGCATAATTAGCCAAATCAAGTGTCTTGATGCGATGAATCCAATGAGCCCAAAATCATTCAACTATGAGGTCATTAAAATATTTAAATATTGAATAAATAATTTATAATCAAATGACTGATCAATATAGGGCGTTTGCTAGAGTTTATAAATTTTGCTCAAATTTGTCAACATGACATCCCCAAATACTAATTTAGGAAGACTTACATTATTGAATTCTTATATATTTATGTCTTATATATTTAACTTTTATCTAAATTATATAAAAATATTATTAATATTAAGTTATTTATCAATAAATATTTTGATATAATATAAATATTAAATGTTATATAAATCTAAAATTATTTAATTAAGACATTTATAGAGTTATATGCATAACTAGAAAGGATCATTTGTTTATTTTGCTTTGCTAAAAAATACAAAATTAAAAAAATAACGCGTAAATGAAATATAGGACGATTTTTTTTTGTTTGAAGAAAAATAAATGTAATATAAAGTAAAATGATGATGGCAGCATCGACGGCTATAAGAGGTGTTGGTAGGGGACCCACCAGGAGATGGAAGTTGACGGCAGGCTGCAGGCGCGGTGAGTAGAGTTTGGCGGCAATGGTGGTGGCCAACAAGTGGCTAACGAGGTGGCTGATGAGGGTGGCTGTGGGTGGTGGGAGGTTTATGACAGCCAATGACTAAAACTTAGCTGACTTATGCTGAAAAATAAATTCGTCTAAAACTAGATGAGTTTATCATTCATTAAAAATAAATTATGGAGTGAAAAAAAAAGAAAAACAAGCACCTAATTTTTTTTAAAAGTGTATTTCTTTTTCTAGCAAATCAAATATCCCAAAAAAAAAAACGGATATATTTTAAATATAATATAATTTGAATATTAGCATGTGATAAGATTTTCTTTTTTTACACACAAGATTTCTGTCGAGATAGGTTCAAGTCGCAGCTTGCACGCAGGAGATGCAACACATATAAGTACGACCATACGTTGTTGTCCCGTCCCTATTTCGTTCCGTTCCCATACACGCAACCCTGTCCCAAACCAGCCTTTGTATTCCACCCAAAAAAAAAAAAAAAAAAAAAAAAAAAAAAAAAAAAAAAAAAAAAAGAAGGGAAAACGGCATTTTGCCTTCTTCCTTCTCAATGCCCCTTTTCGTCATCTTTTTCGCATTCGTGGAGCCTAAGGGATGGAATCGACGCTGGTGAATTGGGAGGCTTTGGATTCCCTTGTTATAAGTTTCGCCAAATCCGAGCACTTAATCGAAGACTCGTCCGCCCTGTCTCCCCCCTCCTCTCCTTCCTCTTCTTCCTCGTATCAGTATCGCCTTCTCATCCGTCAGATCCGCAGAAGCATCGAGGCGGGCGACGTCGATAGCGCTATTTATTTACTGCGGGAGCACGTGCCGGTGGTGCTAGATGACCACCGGATCCTCTTCCGGCTTCAGAAGCAGGTAAACCCTCTTTTGCACGGGGATTATATCTTCGGCGGCGGAGGATTGACTTTAATGTTGTTTTCGATTTGTCTTTTTAGAAATTTATCGAGCTGTTGAGGAGGGGGACTGAAAGGGATCGGGATGCCGCCATACAGTGCCTTCGTCTGGCTCTTGCTCCTTGCGCGCTCGATGCGTACCCGGTAATTCATGCCCTGCTTTGAGATTGATTCCTCTCCTTGATTATGTGATTTGGGGTGTAATTTTTCTATGCTTGAATGCTTGCGGCGCTAAAATTCCCTTTTCTTCTTTGTCTGATATCTAGAAGTATCGAGCAACCTTACATGTTTTCATGATAAAATGCCCTGTGCTTTGCATGGGAGATGAAGAGGAAAACTTATGAAAATTAAACAATTATTAGAAATTTCCTTTAGATGAGACTCACCGTTGAGACATTTATGGGTTTATTGCAGCTGGCATTGAAACCTTCGAAAGGTAATCCCATTTTAAACATTCTATTTATAAAATCATAGGTGGAAACAACAGGAGTAGAGATAAAAAAAAAGTTACAAACTGAAAAAGGGGAAGTTTAACATATATGTATAGGATGAATAGCAGTAGCAAAACAGCTTGGTAGTTGATCAATTTTATCTGATATAAGTAATGTACATGTCAACATCCATTTAAAGCAGTGCACCACTGCATATTGTTCTCCATCTTTTAAACAGCATTTATAACTATCTCCTGAAGTAACAACCAGCTCAAAATAATTCCTATAAATGCAGAATTTTGAAAAGTATCATCTTTTATAATTAATAAATAAAATAAAGTGGAGGGGTGAAATGTTAAATTTAGGAACTTTACAGTATAAAAAACTAATGTAAGATGCTTTGCTGTAAACTAAATTGAAAGGCATTTATATGTCATAGTATTGAACCATGAAACTATACAAAATAATTACAAACAACATCCATACATAAGACAAATGACAATCTTGGAACTCAAACCAAGAACTCAGTTCATTTTGACATCATTGCTGGAGGATGAATGCAATGTTTGCATGTAGAGAAGCATATAGCTAGTCGTTCAAGCCACTCCATCACAAGTAGGAAACAGAGGTAGCAGAACCTTAAAAGCTTTTCTGCAATCAGCTTACGCATGTGCGGGGTCAAAAATTTTACTTAGTGGAAGCATAAATTGACGATTTAAAAAAAAATTTCAGATCCTTTATATATAAAATGAATATATACTGCTAAAAAAGTGCAATTACTCTGTTTTTATATTTTGAAATCATTATATACTCATTTCATTATCAATGCTATCAAATTAGAACTTTAAAAAATCTTTCATAAATTTAAATTTATCCTCATTTCTTAAAATACCATTTAATTATTTATTTATAAAATACACATTTTATAAATTTTAGAAAAAGGATTAGGCGAGGATATTTTGATTGAAATTTAGTTAGGATGAATTTTATGATCCTCATATTTCTTTTGAGATCAAAGCAATTTAAAGGTTGAATGATTATTCATATATTATACTCATATCAAAATAAATAAAAATTTAAAAGTGTATTGCTTAGGATGTCTCAAATCAAATTTTATTTTATCTTTTGGGGGGAATAGTAAGTGCCAATTCTTAAATTTCATATAGAAGGAATTCAAACCCTACGGCTTAATAATAACTATAATTTTTTTTATTAACAAAGATAATTCATATCCACTAATCCAAATTTTCTCTTTTTTTTTCATATTAAGGTATTTAAAAGTTAATCATAATCTTGGGTTCCTCATTTCCTTGTGAGTATAGAATGTGACATCTCCTACCATGCACTAATGATCGCTGAAGATTGCTTACAAAATTAAAGGTAATGGAACTCATATCTCTCTTGATATCTTTCATCAAATCTAACACTGATCACCTCCACATTATATTTTCAACACTGTTGGGGAAGCTACACTTAGATAGCTTCACTCCACCCTGTAATATGAGCCCATTCAGGTCAAGATCAGCTGGGCTAGTGGGGGCATAAGCACTTAGTATCCCCACTATAGCTCTTCTAGTAACCTTATGTGCTTTTGTAGAAGAGAATATTTAGGTAAATGTGGTCATAAAATAAGAAAACTCGTGTCAATAATTGAGGCTTAGATTGGTAGATCACTTTGAAAATCTTGAACTGATTTATTTTGGAAAATAGTTTTTGAGGATGAATGCAGAGGTTGCCTGTAAAGAAGTAAAAGGCAAGCCATCCAAGCTGCTTCGTCAAAATTAGAAAGTAGAGGTAAGAAAAACTTTTAAAGGTTTTTTTTTTCAATTCCCTTTATGAACTTTTAGAAGGGATTATAAGGTAATAGTGGTCATAAAAGAAGAGAAGTTATGTCAATCATGGAGGATCAGATTGATAGATCACTATCATAAATCCATGACTCATTTATTTTAAAAGTCATTGCTAGCGGATGAATGCAACAATTTCCTATTGAGAATCCAAAAAGAAAACAGTTTAGGCAGGGTTGTCATAATTAGAAATTAGAGGTACTAAAAACCTTAAAGGTTTTTTTTTTCAATCCCTTTTACAAACTTCACGGAATGGTTTAAATACTTGACCATGGTTGTAAAATAAGAGAAGTCATAATTGCTTTTAAAGTTACTGAAGCAAAATAAGCAAATCATCCAATCCACTTCATCACAATTGAAATGAGCTTATACGGTTCGGAGTAGCTCCAGTGGTAGATAAGATTAGAGAGAGTCACCTAAGAAAGGTAGAGGTAGACTTAAAAAGACTTGGTTAGAAAATATTAGAAATGACATTTTTTATTAGATTTAAATGAGAATTTAACTCTTAATATGACACAATGGAGAAATGATTCATGTAGTGGACCCACATAGTAGGATAAAGGCTTGATGTTGTTGTTGTTGTAATGTTTGGCATGAATATTTATGGAACTCTATGATTTCTAAGATAAGTGATATGTGCATGTTCCTTCTTCCAGTAAAGAAAATATATGATATAGTAAATTAAATTAATTTTATAGTCTACAATGTTGCACAAATCTGTAGACCAATATCTCATCCTTAAAGCAAGGAGAATAATTCATTATAGAGTATTCTAATATATTACAATGCATGTTTCCAGAGATGAATCATTATCAACGCGTCAAAATGGAATACAACAAAGATGTTGGTTTTTTTTACAAGATTTGTTAAAAAAGATCGAGCTTATGATTTCTAGCTTTTGAAATGTTGAGTTTGTTGCTTAATGGTACAGATTCTCTAAAATGAGGATTTGCTATCACAAAATGAGATTATTTACATTATCCAAACTGAAAAAGGGAGAAGGAGAATCATGATTACAAATCCATGGAGGGTTCGACTTTAGTGTCAAAGGTTACCGATATCAAGAAGAAGACCCTAGTTATAGAGATTCTATATGGTGTAAATGTTGCAACAAATGCTCCACATAGAAAGGAAAGCTTCATGTAACTCATTAAAAAAATGGACATCACAAGGACATGTCGGACGATGTAACACCAAGAAATTGTCTATTGAGTTTTACAAAGAAGAAATAGAAAAGTTAAAAAACTTGTTGGAATCATTGAAAAGCTCCTATGTCAGGTACTTATTCTATAGTATTCTCAAATATTATCCCATTGTCTCACGCTTTTAAAGTATTAGAGATGCCTATTTCTCATTGATTTAGAGCTATAGGCTATATGACCAACTCCTAACACAAATTTATTCGTATGCTTCTTGTCTTAACAACAAAGAATAACCACTGTTTATGGATCCCTAACGATGGTGGTCAATGAAGGAGACATTCTTATAAAAAATTCCTCATAAAAAAAAACCTTTGATGTACCTAAATTATTTACCAACTTGTTATTTATTTAAAGTTGTCTAAAGATTTTAAGTGCAGAGTTATCTTTTATTCCTTATATTTCATTTTTCAAGATCCAAACACGTGGAGGATGATTTGCTAAAGAAAAGAATGATGCCTATCAACTTAAGGAATCTACTACTCAAGCAATCTCTATACAACCTTCTATATTATCGCCTTTTTTAAAATCCCTAAAATTGATAAATTGGCTTCAACAACTACATCTTGGCAGCCAGCCTATAGTTTTTTATGAAAATTAGATTTTTAAAAAAATTATTTATAGTAATAAATATTAAAAAGTTTCATTGTGATGTTTATAAGCTAGCTAAAGACACATGTACCAATTTTAAAATGCGTGATAAAAGAACTCCTATTTCATTTTCTCTCATTTATAATTAAATATGAGGATTATCTTCTACAGCTAATATATGGGGCTTGGTGGTTTTTGCGTTTTATCATTGATTGTCATATATGTCCTCGATCTTTATATTAAAAGCCAAAGATGATGTAAGTACTATCTTTTCATTTATTTTAGCATGATATTGAATAAAAAGAGGAAGATATGATAATATTATATATTAATTAAACCACTCTTTCTTCTCATATTTAAAATATGCATACACACAAAAGGAATAATACATGAGTCTTTTTTTTGTGCATACGAAAGAACGACCATCTACTTGTTGCCAGAAGTACAATCTTTTTTCAAAAGAAAGTTTCAAAACTTCATTAAGGTGAAGCTATTTTAATGGCTGCTCAAATCATAAACTGGTTACCTACTAGGATTCTTGGGCCCAAAAACTTTAATCATATTATTTTCTCACTTCAATATCTTAAATACCTCTGTTCTAAAAAAGATTTGGTAGTATTTCCTTATTTCATACACATTTTCAAAATAGAGGAAAACTTATTATTAATTAAATGTGTCTTCATTAGTTATTTTTCCTTACAAAATGGTACGAATGTTATAACTCCCACTTAGAAAGGTGTATTTGTTCATTGATGGGGCTTTCAATAAAAAACACTACTTTATTACTTTTTCTCCTGAATATAAATCACAAATGATAAAGTATATATTTTTTTTTGCATTGCCCTTTATTGCTATTTATATCAGCAAACAATGCTATCCTAGAGTTAGCTACTCCTACCCAAATTGAGCCTGTACTTGAATTGCCTTTGTACTTAGCCACTGTAGGTTTGCTCAAGAAGAAATGCATCAACCTCTTACTCTACACGTCCAATCAATCCTTGTCACTGAATTCAATGAGGGAAGTATTGAAGCTACAAGAGAATGGAATCTTAGTAGAAAAGTTGTAATAACTTTAA